CCCCAAAACCCCAAAACCCCAAAACCCCGCTCATCCTATTTAAAAGTTTTTGAATTTATGAATTAAATTGAATAATTTAAATAATCAGCTTTATTAAGCTGACTAAATAGAATTTTGCTTGGCAAAATTGACTTTCGCTTCTCAACTTTATCACTGAATATCAGTCTTAAGAGTTGATTATCTCTTTGATTGTCTGAAGCTCTTTCTGAATGTGCTGGTGAAGGCAACCTTTTGCTCTTCCTCAGTAAGTGGCTCTTCCTTCATTTGGATTCTAGTGAATAGGGAAACTGGGAGAATAGCTTTGACGATGAGTCCAACAATGAGGGAGCTGGCACCGATGCCAATGCAGATCACGTGTTGTTACCAGGTGAGTGGAACGGTTCTGACTGATTGACCTCCATATTGGACGAGGACGCATTGGACTGCAATGGTGAAGACAATGATTAGGAGGAAGAGTAGGTTGTTGAAGAAGCCGTGGAAGACATTGTACTCCCTCTCTCCGAGCTTTCTGCTGTTGATCTCGTTGAACACTTGCATGAACACGAAGGTATGGAAGATCAAAGTGTAATGGAGCACTTTATCGAAGTTGGGAACCTGAGCGACATAGAAGGGATCGCTGTCAGTGTAAGTGAGACTGAAGATATTCTTGCCTCCGAAGAGAAGAGTCACAAGCACTATGATTTGGAAGATTGCCTGGCCTGTGATGTTTCTCCACATGACTGGAGTAACAATCAAATCGTTTCTGGAGTATGGTTTTCTGTCTAGGAGATCTTCACCTGGGGGTTCAGTAGCGAGAGCAAGAGCAGCGCATGTATCCATGATGAGGTTAACCCAGAGCATTTGAACTGAGGTAAGGGGTGGATCGTCCTTGGCAACACCTCCGAGGAACACGATGAACATAGCAACGACGTTGACAGTAAGTTGGAATTAAAGGAACTTTCTAACGTTCTCGTAGATGTTTCTTCCCCACTTAACAGCAGTTAAGATGCTAGCGAAGTTATCATCGAGAAGGATAATATCTGAGGCTTCTTTAGCGACTTCAGTGCCTGTAATTCCCATAGCGAAGCCGACATCAGCTCTCTTAAGGGCTGGGGCATCATTAGTACCATCACCAGTAACGGCTACAACGGATTGGAATTCCTTAAGACCTGTTACGAGCATGTATTTATCCTCTGGGGTTGATCTAGCCAATACCTTAAGTTTATCTTTAACAATTCTGAACATACCCTTGTTTCCAATCTCTTCTCTAAGTTTGCCATCAGTATTATTTTCATCCTTAATTGAGACAAGTCCTCCGCAAATTTCTCTAAATTGCTTTCCTTCCATGCAAACAAATTCTGTTTCAGCTTCTTCAGCATTGATGATTCCAGCTTCAAGTGCAATAGCCTTGGCAGTGTCAAGGTTATCACCAGTAACCATTCTGATATTGATTCCAGCCTTGTGACAATCTTTAACTGATTGTACGATTTCATCTCTAAGTGGGTCTTATAGGGCATAGATACCAATAACTGTCAATGAACTTTCAAGGACTTCTCTGTCTACTTCAGAGGCAAAGTTGTTGTTTTACTCACAAAGATTGTCGTATTATTCATTAGTAAGATCAGCATAAGCGATAAGAAGAGTTCTGAAGGCTTTCTTGGCGAAAGAGTTGGTAACAACATCATTTACAATGCGATCTCTTTGGGATTTGCCAATTGTTTGGGTTTGTCCATCCTTATCGAAATAGCTCTCGCAAAGTTCCAAAACGATCTCAGGGGCACCTTTAACAAACACTCTGACAAGGTTTTCTTTAGTTGGATGTCTGATAGCAGTGCATGCTCTCTTTCTCTTTGAGTTAAATGGAATGACTTATAGGATTTTGTCGTCCTTTTGTCTTAGAAGATGATCAGCTTAGACTCCAGCATCCATTAAGTATGAAATTAAACCTTGCTCAGTGCAGTTTCCCTTAGTTTCAAGTACACCTAGCTCATTTCTTTCAATTCTAGCGCTGCAGTTAAAGAGTACTCCTTCAGCTAGGAGATCATTTCTTGGAAGAGTATTGAAGTGTGCTGGGACTCCTGTGTATATAGTGTCAAGGAAATAAATTTCTTTGACAGTCATTTGGTTCTTGGTAAGAGTACCAGTCTTATCAGTACAGATTTCATTTGCACCTCCCATTGTTTCAGAAGCCTCTAGCTTTCTTACAAGATTATTTTCCTCCTTCATCTTCATAACTGAGAAAGCGAGTGAAATGGTAACGGCAAGTGGAAGACCCTCTGGAACAGCCACAACAATAACTGTAATAGCAATGATAACAAATTCAATAACTTTTTTCAAGGTATCAACGCTCAATAGATTCTACAGCGAATTGATTAAAATTTATAGAGTAAATTACACTTGAATCATTAACAGCAGTAATAATGATTAGCTTGACAGTCATAACAATGAATGTTACTATGGCGACATAGAGACCAACTTTACCGATTTCATTAGCAATGGTTTCTAGTTTACCTTGAAGTGGGGTCTCTTCATCTTCAATATTCAGCTTTTCCTCAGCCATACCTGATCTAGTATGTGATCCAACAGCACAGACAAGAGCAACACCTTGCCCACTAGCTACTAATGTGTTAGCAAGGAGGAATGGATTTGGACTATGATCAACGTTGTTTTCACTGACTGCAGATTTTTCCATTTACTCTGGCTCTCCAGTCATAGCACTCTCATCAGCTGCAACATCAGTTCCAGCCATCAAGATACAGTCAGCTGGTATTTTCATACCAGATTCAATTTTAATAAGATCTCCAACAACTAATTCAGTGGTAGAGATGGTATGAGTTGAACCATCTTCGCCTCTGTATACAGCAACAGTTCCCTCAGCTGCTTTAGATACGAGCTTTTGGAATTATTTCTCTTTGATATAGTTGTTACCAGCTGTAACTGAGACTATAATAGCAACTGCAATGAAGATGGATAGTCCTTCAATCCATCCATGCTCAATACCTTCCTTCCAAATTCCAATAATCAATGCTACGAGAGCAGCAATCAGCAAAATCTAAAGTATTCTGTCCTCAAAGTTTTCTAGGATGAGTTCCCATAGAGTTCTAATCTTAGGAGGTCTCTTGGAATTAGCTCCAAAACTAAATAGAAAATTAGCTTATGAATAGTGGTGATTTAAGTATGAAGTAAGTATATATAGCAAATATTTGAAACACTTACGCATTAATTCTGTTCTTGATGTCCTGTGCTCCACCAATAATACCATTCTAAACTGAGGGTCAAGAATTGAAAACTTGTAAGCAATTTTTACCTTGGAATCAGATTTGAGTTTGTGAGCGAGACCTTTGGCACCACCATGTTTCCATAATTCTGAGATGCTAATAGATCTCTTAAAATTATCTGGAGAAGGATGGTGAATGTTATCTGGATGGAACAAGAAACTATTGAAATAGATTACATTACATTCAAAAATTCAGTTGATTTTGTCACTTACCCTAATTCAGTTATGTCTACACCGAATTCTTGCCCTTTCTCATTTAAAAGGGGCTCCTCTATTTTCTTTGTTTATGCTGCCATAATCCTATTTTATAGTTCTTGCTTAAAAGATACTAAATTTAATTATGCAGTAATTCGAAACTAAAATTTATTTACTCGTATTTCTTCTAAATTTTTTGAGCTGGGGTTTTGGGGTTTTGGGGTTTTGGGGTTTTGGGGTTTTGGGG